TGCATGGATTTCTGTTTTGTGACTTGTTGCCTTCCTGTTTAAGATCAAAGGAAAAGTTAGAAAATGACTTCTTTTATTCTTGCATGATTTTGATTCTCTCCTTTATTTTTAGACTTTTTGTATTAGGTTTTCTGGGCGATCTGGTCTGGTCAGGGGGGCATCCAAATTCAGATGATCTGTTTTTCTATTTATTCCCCAGAGCAGTTTATGCTGCTTAAATAAGGCAGGCCCTCTAATTTAGTCGCTTTTCCATTCATGTACATTGATGCATATTCATGCAAGAGGGTGAATTGTTTATAAAGAGACTACTTTGGGCTGATAAAAAATTATTTCAGTGTTTAGCAATTCTTTTTATTTTATCATTAACTCATAACAAATTCACACACTTCAGAAAGATATAAAGTAAAAAGTAGAATTCCCCCTTTTCTTTCTACCCTCATAATTGCACACCTTAGAGACTTGGAAATATCCTTCCAGTTTCCTTTTATGTTGTTATTTAAAAACAAACAAATATATGAACACACACACACTCTCTCTCTTCCTCATCTTGATACATTTGACAGTATATATGTCTCTGCCTTATTCTTTCAGATGTTCTGAAAGTCCTTTGGCAGTGGGAGTGATTTGAGGGGCACTTTCATCTAGGACTAGGAATAGGCTAGTTGTTTTAAAACGTAGAAGGGTCACCCCCTAAACGTAGAGGGTAGGCTCTGCCGATTATATATTATCAGCTTTTTCATTTTGTGCCATGAGTTTCAGAGTGCTCGCGTCCCTTACGTCAGGCTGCCCTGAAACTTTCTGGGAGTGCTGTAATTCCTCTGACCAGAGCTCCCTGGGGTTGCTATTGCGGGGTACAATGTGTCAGGAGAGCAGAGGGGTTTTCTTAAGGGGTTTTCCATGTTTCCTAAGAAATAGATGCCTGCGGTTCTTAGAGGGTTTCTGCAGCACTCACTGTGTGTTGACCTAAGCCCCTAACTAAAACAGTAATGAAATGACGGTAAGAGTCCTCCCCTCCTTTTCCATCCTATATTTGAGCACTAAGAATAGATAGCAACGGAAGAGGAAGCCTACTGCTTACATGACCGTGGTCCAAAAGAATAAAATGTGCTGACACTTATAATCTCCTTGCTCGAGACTTCATTTTTAATGACGATTAGCTAAACCTATTATTTTGAGGAAAAATGATTTTATGACCGTGAACAAATATAATAGGGATAATTACTATAAAGGAAAGGTAATCACTCAAGTGAGGGAAGGCCAAGGGGTGAGAAATTCTATAGTCGCACAGGTTATGAATGACAGCGCAGGCGAAGGGAGACTGGCCCCAGTGGCGGTGAAGTTAGCGCTGAGAGGAAGGGCTGAGCCATCCTTCCTTCCTCAGACCTGCAGGCGTATTCACTGCCAAATCCGTCTTCCCTGCTCCTTCCGGGTGTGAATGAATTATTAGTGTTTGCATCTCCAGTGTGCCAGGCAGGGAAGGCTGCTGATGATGGAAGAGTTCCAACAGCTGTACTCTTCTCTCAGACCAGAAGTGGCTCCATAGGGTTGATGGTGGAGTCTCGGGCAGCTTAAGGTTTGGAGAGAAGCAAATCAGTTATCTAATTATTTGCCTGATTCTCAGCTCCTCAGAGTTCAGGTTATTACTGCCTTAAATGTGACTATGCCAGGACGTGGAGAATTTAGCTACTTCATCTATTCCTGGTAGTCCCTTCCAACACAAGCTGAAGTGGCTCCATCAGTTCTGAGTTGTGGGTGATTTATTAATAGTGAAGTAATAATTATTATTGTTGTTGCCAATAGCCAGCATTTAGTAAGCAGATTTTCCAACCAAAAGCTCTGTGTTTAATCTTCAAAGGATACCAATAAGACTTATTAGTGACTCCATTTAACATATGAGGAAAACTGAGACTGAGCGATT